GTAGAGATGGGTATATTTATTTTTACATAGTAGTCATAGTGATATTACATAGAGATAAAAGAATCTCTAGTATATTCATATGTAGAGAAAAGAGAGATCATATTAGAAAGAAAAGAAAAAGTAGAGATGTTCATGGACCAAATTAATTTGGATTTGAGGTAAACTAAGAACCAATTAATTTTGATTGGTATGATTCAGATTAGATCGACCAAAAAATATTATGTTTTGAACCAAACCAAACCAATCAACAATAAATTGATTTAGTTTGGATTAATTGATTTTCTTGAAGGAAAAAAGATATATATTTATTTTTAAAAAACATATAAAATACATTATTTTTTCTCAAAATTTAAATATCAACTATTATTAAAAGAGTGTAAATAATATTCTAACATAAATAAAAGAGTAAAGTGAAAAAAATAGTTCGCAAAATGTAACATTGTCCAACATTTCAAATTTAGGTATCTCTCGAACATAACTAAATTATTTAAATTACATTTACTATGTAAGTAATTTTCGTGCATTCTTTTTTCAACATAAATATTAACTTGCAAATAATATATTAAGTGAAACTAATTATTAAAATTTGTTTGGTATTTAGTCAATGTTAGAACACTAGATCTAGATATAGTAATTGATAAGTAACTAAGTGTATTGTGTAACTAATAAAATAATAAAACTATAAAATGTTAATATTATAAAATAATAATATATAATATTATAAAATAATTAATGTTAGTGTGAGATTAAATATATTTGTAAAGCATTATTAATTTGGTTTGTATTTGATTTGAGCCAAAATAATAATAATTTAATTAATTTTACTTAGATTATTAGTTTTCTTATATTGTCCAAGCTAACAAACATATCTAAGAAGAGTTACAATTATTTGAATTAGAAGAGAAGAAGAATTTGAGAGAAATTTATAGATAAATAATAAATAAATAAAATAATGACTATTTATTTTTATTATATTTATTATTGTAATTATTTAGAAATTATCCTAATTTAATTATATTAGTTTATAAAATTAATCATGATTAAATAAAATAAAATTTCGAAAAGGAGAGTGCATTTGGACTAGAAAATTCGTACTTCTCCTTTTATTATTATTATTATTATTATTATAAAAATAAAGAGAAAGGGTAGTAAACTTTTTTCACATATATCCCATGCTTAACTATTGTTATTCTTATTTAATAATTACTCTGGTTAAAAATATGATTACTATTAAATATTTTTAAGAAATATGTAAAAAATAAATAAAACATGAAAAAAATTATGGATAAGGAAAGTATTATTAAACTAAAAAAGCGCACCTACCCATAATTTTTTTTTATAAATATAAAAATAAAACTAAAATTAATGTTTTATAAAAATGATCTTTGTTCATTTCTAAATCGTCTCTTATATTAAATGTAAAGACCCGGCTAGTCACTACACACGGCACAGCACACTAGAAACACCGCACAGAAAAGAACAACTCTATACATATAGAGTCTAGAATATACATATACATGATCCAATCTGAAACAGAGTTAAAGTGTACCAAAAAGGAATACAATCATATACTACTGTCCCAAGTAGCTCAACAACAAAAAGAATCATAAAAGAGATTAGCTCCACCGATCTGCTGGAGACTCACCACAAGACTCCCACCTATCCCTGCTCTGCTCCCATACATAGTATGATCATTGCAGTCCAAACATCATGGAAACAACAAAGGGTAAGCTAGTGTAATTAAAACTCAACATACAAATATATATCAATAGGATAAACAACAGCTACAGCTATCAGCACACATGTACAGCTTATACCACTCACAACACGTAACAATATCAGCACCGCAATGCGGCAATATCAGCACTGCTCAGCAGCAATAACAGCACCGCTCAAGTGGCTTTAACAGCACCGCAAAGCGGCAACAACATCACCGACTTAGCGGCTATCACAGCACCACATATGTGGCTAAATACAGCACCGACTTAGCGGCTATAATATCACACCACTCAGCATAGCACCTAGGGATGGCAACGGGGCGGGGCGGGTACGGGTTTCATGATACCCGTCCCCGTCCCCGCAAGTTAAACTCATCCCCATCCCCGTCC